CACACATTTACATCTATGGTATTATTTAACAAATATCTTTCTTATCAGCACTAATGCCATATATCACTAATTTCAGATGATTTCCTAAAATTGCACACTGAAAAGAAACATAAACCAGCACATAAATTCCACATTGGTTTATTTATTTCAATTTCATTTACTGTTCTGTTTTCCTGTCCTTCTCCCTACCAGGGGAGAAGGGAGAAAAAAAGAAAAAAGGAAGAAAAAAGGAAAATACATGAATACAGAGAAAGGTTCTCTAATGGGTATATAAATAAACTCTAGAAAAGCTTCCGTAGAACAACTTAAATCAGTAGTTCAGAGAAATATGAAAAATAACTAATATGCTTGCCATGATAACATTCAAAGTGGTTACACAGATTCTTTCCTAGGAGATGGGAAAAGCAGAATTACTGGCTGAGACCTTGAGTGAGGCTAGCCATGGTACTGCTTATGATGTCACCTTAATGAAAAGAGCAACACAGGGTTGGGGTTGTGCGTCAGTGGTACAGTGCTTGTCTACCACTTGTGAAGCACTGCATTTGGTCCTCAGCACCACAAAATGATAAATAAAATAAAGGTATTCTGTCCATCTATAACTGAAAAAAAAAGAGAGAGAGAGAGCAACAGAAAAATACAACTTATATTGTGTATCAAGGGGCATAGGCACACTATTTGCAGATCAAGAGGTTCTATCAGTGCTAAGGACTCTGTTCTCTGTGCTGGCTTCACAGAGAGAAACAGAAAGGCCACCATCAAGAATGTGCTTTGGGTTTGCAGCTTCTGCTCAACTCAGTGGTTTGTATTTCCTTTCCCTGAGTCTTTGAGAGCATGACTTCCCTGAGGTGGGTTCCTTATTCAAAAATGACACTCAGACAAAAATTAAATGCAGTAGCAACTACCAAACTTCTGCTGAAAGTGGAGGAGTGGTTGTCCTTTTCCACCCATCCAATAAGCCAAATAAAACTTTTCTCCGGGAACTATTTATCTTTGGAGTAATTTTCAAAAATAGAACTTAAGGAAGGTTACTCTTTGTGTGGCTTGGATTGCAAATGTCCTCCATGTGCTAAAAGGATTGGTCACCAGTTTGTGGCACTAATGGGGAGGTAGTGGAACCTTCCAGAAGGCAGGGTCTCAAAGGAGAAAGTTGGGATATTGGGGGCATGCCCTTAAAGGAGACATTGGGATACTGCTCTCTCCTACTCTTTCCCTCTGTTTTCTGGCCATCATGATGTGAACAGATGCCCTTTGCCCTGTGATCCTCACTATAATGTACCATGCCACTATAGCCCAAAGCAACTATGGACTAAAACCTCTGAAACTGCAGACCAAACTAAACCTTACCCCCTTATAAGTTGATTATCACAAGTATTTTGTCACAGTGATGAAGAGCTGACTAACACAAAACAGGTGATGAGGCAGACAAAAGAGTTAAGTTAGTGAAATGTGTGTGCTCAAGGGTTAGGAGGCACACTTCTTGCAGATCAAGTGCTCCATGTTTATGGAATTCTATCAGACACAAGACTCCCCTCATCAGCCCTTGGATCCTGACTTTGGGTGAAATTCGTTGGAGGCTTATTGCCTTAGCCATGACATGGGGTTATAATACCAATGTAAAGAACCTGGATGAGAATAGAGTGGAAAAAATGCTGTGATTCATACTACAATTTCTTGGTGTTCTTCTCATGTTTGTTATGCATGAGCGTCCGAGTATTAGGGGAAAATAATTCATTATTCATCAGGGAGAGAATTGCACTAATAAGCTTCATATTTCTCTTCCAAGTGTGTAATTCTATGACTGTTTTGGTGATGGCTTATTGTCTTGCAGCCAATGAAATCAGAGACACCTTGACACTAACAAAGTGAAGGGAAATTATATAAAGAACAACACCAGGATAAATAGCACAAACAATAGATTTTGTGAGGCTTAGAACATGAGGCAGCTAAAGAGCAGGGAAGGCCCCATAGTGAGAGGAAGGCTTCCCATCCAAACCTAATGTTATCCCAGTGGAGAAAAGTGTCTGGGCCTCAGGTCAGACAACTGCAGCACAGAGACATCAACACTACCCTCCTAGGGGCCCTATGGGCACTAAGGGAATTAAAAGGACATGAAAGCAGTTAGCATATCCTAAGTGCTTAGTAGGCGCTCAACTAATTGTGGTTGAAATAAAAGCCTTTAAAGAAATAAAACATTCACAAAATAGACGCCTGGTATGCAGAGAATACAAAGTTTATCCATTACACTCAACTGCAAAGATGCAAAGATAAAAGAGGTTTCCAAATGGTGTAATCTCACAGGCACCTTTAAAAGATACCAGTGACTGGCTCTCACCTCGAACACTCTGAATAAATTAGTAGGGGAATGGCCTGGGCATTGGGACTTTTAATAATTCCCCAATGATTTCAGAGTGGGGAGTTTAAGAACCTGTTTCAGAGAAGAGTTGTAAGGTTTCTTGAGGGGATAAATGAATGAAAACTGCCAAATTCTAGGAAATACCCTTTAGGATTTCTTGGAATTTTCTTGAAGAAATGTAGCTATAAGTTAGAGAGGTAACCAAAATGAGGGAAAATTATTCATGTGTGTGCCTCTTCCCCCAAACATTTATTAAAGCTTCCATGCATGTTACAAAGGAAATCCCCTCCATCTGTATGACAGGTTTTTTCCACTCTCTCTAAAACACCTGCAAGTAAAATACCTCCAACATCAGAGCCTTCCAGCACAGCAGACAAGAAGTCAGAGAGATGGACTAAATTTGTCGGTAGCATGAAGGGCTTGACATAAAACAAAGAGTTGCATGTGCCTGAGTGGCATGCAACTTATTGATGCTAAATGGTAACATACATTATATAAATGCTATCATATGATAGGACATCTTATCTAACAACAACATAACCATGAAACAGTAGACTGATTATACTGGAGAATTGGATGTAGTTGCATAATAAACTGCCAAATATTTGAAAATGAAAGTTCTCACTCATGCTGCTACTAAATTTATTCCACTTAACCCTTGCATGCAAGGACATCACAGGGGGAATTTTTGCCATCAATTTTTTGCAAAATATTGACCTAACATCAAGAAAAGTGTATTCTTTGGGGACACCACTGCCAGGCTATATTTTTCAGCTGGAGCAAACAAAGTTTCATAATACTGAAATGTACAGGCTGTGAAGTGGATTCCGAATTCATTATGTTGGATGAACCTCATCTCTCCATTGAGGACAACAGGGAAAAGTGGAAGCCCATTAAAAAATGTGAAGTCTTCTTTTTATCTTCGCTCCATAGCTCCTTGTCCTTGGAACTCCTTCTTTTGTACCCTTATTCTCTCATAAACCTGATTTTGTTCCTATATGGATAAATATGAATATTTTACTTCTTAAGCTTACAGCTAATTGGTTTCTCTCAACAACACACAATAAAAGAGAAATTAAATAATTTCAAAAAACAAGGAAGTTTAGTAAATTGGAAAAAAGGGAGCACAAATGCTTTAAAATTAAAAACTATATAGAAAATAAAGAAATAAAATACAGGTATTACACAAGTGGATAAAAATTTAAGCATGCACATAACTTCTATGTATTAGAGACATAACTAATAATCATTGTGTACTAAATTCTCTTTTAAAAATGTTTTATATAAATTGATTATTTAATTCTCACAATAAACCTGTATCATAAGTCTTATTATTAGCACATTTTTTTTTATATGAAAGTCTGAGACAAAGAAAGTCTAAGTAACCAAACTGGCAAGTGGCAGAATGGACCTCAACCCAAAATGCCTGGGCTTGAGAAATGATGCTTTTGGACTACATGGAAAGGACTTTTGGCATTCTCCCAGCCTAGCCAAGGAAAGCTTTGTTAGGTCAAAATAGACTGCATTATTCAGCCTGTGGGTGTAAATGCAAGTTCAAGAATATGTGACAACCTCTTATTTGAAACTATTCTCTATCAGGCATAGTTCCAGGTAGAAGTCAAAAGCAGACATGGCTCCTGATAGCTTCCACAAGTTCATGAGTACATTTTATAACTTATTTTTCTTACAGTACTGGAGATTGAACCCAGGACCTTGTGCATGCTAGCTAAGTACTCTACTGCTGAGATGCATTCCCAATCCTCATAAGTACTTTTTGTTTTTAAAATGCACATCTAGATGTTTAAAGAACCCAAGTAGATCAGAGATGCAAAGTATGAGGAGGATGCATGAGACAGACCCATTTAACTTCAGGGCTACCCTTGACTAGCTGACTGAACTTTCTGAAGTAGCTATCTTCATCTATAACCCACCAATAGTTATAGTAACTATACTTCCTGTGAAGGTGTTCTGGGGTCAATGTGATGCAGGTAAGGTTCAGGCATAGTGCCCAGTCCACAGTGGTGCAGATTCAATGCAAAAGGAGCTGCAAATATGGAGGAAATGAAGCAGGGCCGTAAAGATGAGAGGTGAAGGGAGAAAGAGAAAGGGTCCAGGGGTCCAGAGGACTGAAAGGAGGAGGAGGCTACAGAGAACACTGAGAGTTGTGCAGCTGGAGAAGAAAAGACAGGAGGTCTATTGTGAGTTGTGATTTGTCTGATGTTATTGATTAATGAGAAATGTAAATAAAACTAGAATCACT